ACACACACACACACACACACACACACACACACACACACACACACACACACGTTGGCCTGGCCAGCATTTTGTGGCACATTTTTTACATTATATTTCACTTGGTATTTGACATCTCTTAACACTTGCTAGTATTTGTCTCAGAAAGGAAAAAATCTGTAACCCTGGGTTCCATCTGAATATTCATTGTGTGTGCAGTTCCTCAGGAGGGCGGATGTACCCCTCTTGATCTTTCATTCTCTTGACTCATGGGTCATTTAAAGGCAGGAATATTGTCTTTTTTGTCTGTTTGTTCAGCGTATCGGGGCAAAGTAGGAAGGCCCACTTCACCTCCTTGGACTAGAGCTGTTGGAACCTGGTTTCAGGAAATTTGTATTCTGTCTGGCTCAGTCAGAGTGGTTGACTTAAATATTAAAGTGTTTGCACGATCAAAATACTGTGATTGAGATGGCCTATTTCGGCAGTTATACAGGTGTAATGTCCCCCCGATTTTTTTTCTGTAGCAGCATTCATCTCTTCCCCACTGTTTTACCAAACTGAAGTCATCTTTAGTTGATCTTAATCAGTATTAAGAGATGTGAACCCTTGATTCTGTTCTTAAGGTTCTCTGAAAGAGCCCTGGGCCTGAAGCTTCTCTCAGAAGGGGGTGTCATCCCCAGGGCTGCTGTGATTCTGCTTATTCCGAGAACATTCTCTGAGACTTGGAGAGTCTCTGAGGAGAGAAATGGCTTCAGATTGTTCTCAAATTATCTTGTTCTCTGAATGAAAAATTGGACACATATGCTCCAATAAAGGATTCCCTCCATCTTTTTACATGTATTTTTAAGAAATGGGTAGGAAGATTAAAATACACAGACAACAGATTTCCTCTAAAAAAGTTACATGAAAGAGTATAAAGTTAAGCCATCTGTATAGTAGATAATGAGGTATTGGGTTGCCATTTTCAACATTTCAGTATTTCAAGTTTTTTGTTTATTTAGAGACTACAAAGGAGGGACTTCAGTGCCAGATTGACTGGGTTTGAATTCTGGCTTCATCCCTTCCCGATGGTTTGTCTTGAGGCAAATTATTTAACCTGTCTGAACTCCCGGGTTCCTGTATCTGTAAACTGTGCACATTAACACCCACCTACTGAGCTGGCCCTGAGACAATGAAGTCAAGTGCGTAGCACGGCCCGGACACTTCGGGAGCTGTCAGAACTGGCCCCGTGTCTTGCTTGTAGGGACGTGTTTGATAAGCTCTCTTGGCTAAATGTTAAATAGTGTGATAACATAGTCTCACTTCAGGGACATTTTTTTATGGTGGTGGCATTGGGGTGGGGAAAACTGGGAAGGAGATACTGTATCTTGTTGGCCAATGGAGTCATCATTCAGATGGCATGTTGACCCAGAGTTAAAAGTGGCAGTTCTCAACCTTGGGTCCCCCAGCATAATAATGGGCATCTGGAATCAATTTTCAGTATTTTTCAAAACCTGACAGAACTGATATGATTAGCCTACACAGATAAAGCTTTTTGAAAAAAATGAGGCTCGTGTATCTCCAAAGTGCTTAGATACTTTAATACTCTTTTACCGTGGGATTAAACAAATATTTGAAAAGAGAAATGGAGGAAACAAGAATTTTCCACCTAGCAAGGATACCATGGCTCCTCTCTGCTCTTTGCTTCCAGCATGATTCTTTCAGCTGTGGCAAGGAGCCGTCCTGCAGGACTTCAGATGTGCCGAGTGCCAGAACACGCACATTTTTCATACGCGGGAGCATAGTTTCTGTTATAGCTTATCAGGGCTCAGTGACCAAGCTGCACATTTGGAAACGATTTGAGATGAAAGAGACAGAACGGCAGCAGGATATCCTGAAGTGAAATTCAAACCCTGGTGAGTTAAAACCACCATCTAACACCTTTCCCTCCCAAAAGCAATTGCACAAAATCCTCTCACAAAAATGTGAAGATCCCATATAAAATGACGTTCCTTTAAATCGTGTTGCGCTTTGCAGCTCACAAAGCATTCCAGATACATTCTTATTTTGATCCTCCCAAGGATGGCCTGTGTAGAGAAGACCTTATCCCATTTTATGTAGGAAGTAACTGAGGGCTGGAAAGGTTGTTTCCTTGAATTTCACATTTTTGGGGTCAGATATTGATTGAGCTCGTCCTAGGGCCAGCCTCTGTGTCCTTTGTGGAGGGAACCATGTCTTCCTATTCTGAGTGTTGTTTTCCTTCCCTGCCCCTTTTGACCTGAATCTACTGTGTGGTTCACACCTGGACACCAGGACTTAATTCACTTCTGATTTCTCAAGTGAATGCAATTT